CCGAGGCTGCTCTCGGCGCCTGCGCGTGTCGCTGTGGGGGTGGGCGACGCCTCTGAGCAGGGGCCCAGGGGTGAGGGGCTGTCCCGTGAGCTCGGCTGTGAAATGTCACTGGGGGAGCATTCCGGGGAGACGGGCGTCTTCGTGGCCTTCTTGGACAGGGCCTGCCTGAACCAGTCTGCGGGGAGAAACACTGCTCAGGCCCCCAGTGCACAGCAGGGAGGAGCCACCCAGGCAGGACCCTACCCATCTCCCCTGCCCACCTTATTTCCACACCTGCTGCTCTGCTAGTGTGTACAGTCTTCCGGACTTGCCCCAAAGTCCCCCTTGTCTTTAAAGGTTTGGGGATACATAAAACTCTGGCTGTTTTATAAGTCGCTGGGGATGTCATGTCCAGCCTGTCCGCTATAGTTAACAATACCATATTGCATATTTGAAAGCTGCTAAGAGAGTAGACCTTAAAATTTCTCATCACAAGAAGAGAGGGGAGGGTATAGCTCAAGTGGTAGAGCACATGCTTAGCATGCAGGAGGTTCTGGGTTCAATCCCCAGTACCTCCTCTAATAAGTAAATAAATAAACCTAATTACCACCTCCCCTAAAAAAAGTTCTCATCACAAGAAGAAACAGAAGTCAGTAACTATGTATGATGATGGACATTAACTAGACTTACTGTGGTGACCATTTCACAATGTATACAAATATGGAATCATTATGTTGTATATCTGAAGCTAATAGAATGTTATATGTCAATTATACCTCAATAATTAAAAAAACACACAAACAACTTTAGTATAACAATATGAGAGAGGAGAAGAAAAAAAAAAAGACAAGAACTCTGGCTGTTTTTACCAGCCTGACTGGGAAGAATGACTGCCTGCTCCAGGCCCTTTGATTCGTGGTAACCCTAGCCTACCCTAACCAGAACTTCCCACGAGCTGACTAGTCAACCACCTGTGAGACTGTTAAGTAGAACGACGCAAAGCTGGTAAAGATTAGTCCCAAACCCGCTCTCAGCACTGAGGGGAGATGGATTTCGATTAAGGGGCTCCCCATTATGGGAGGGAGAGAGGGGCAGGGATTGGCATGTGTTTGGTCCTGAGAAACCCGAGCTTGTGGCTAAATGGGTAAAGTGTGGGAGGCGGCCACTGCTCAGAGCTCCTGGAGAGCTTGGAGCTGAATGACTCAGAACCACGCTTTGGAGTCGGGCACAGATTTGACTGTGGACCTGCTGTTTGCTTTCTGTATGATCTGAAGCAAGTCAGTTTCTGTCTCCATTTCCTCATCTGTATTTTAGCTGTTGCTGAAGATTAACTGAGATAATGGAGTGTCGGGTATATTGTGAGGACTCTAGATGATTTCAATTCAGCTGTCCCCTTCTGACAGGGATAGAAAGTCTGGTGTTCTGGAGATGGATTTGTTTGCTCTCTCTGCTTGGCTCCTTCCTCGGAATGGTTCTGAAGATGTGGGTGACAAGAGACACAGTGTAAAGCACTCAGCACAGTAGTTTCCAGGCTGGGAAGAGGAGCTGAGCACACCTGGAAAACCCGTGAGCCAGAGGATTGAAGGTTCCCTGATGGACGCCTCCTCTTCTTGCTCCCCACAGAGCCTCTGGGCACCAAGGTCAAGGCAGGAGCCCCTGTCGTCAGCCTTCCTGCCTCTCTCCAGGGCCCATATGCAGGCCAGGCAGCCTCCTGGAATTTGGAGTCTGCATCCACTCACCAGCCATCCTGCCCAGAGGCTTCCTGGACCTGGAGCGAGGAGCTGGGGAGGAGGTTGATGATGCCATAGTGTTGGGCTCCAAACTAACCCCATGAGACCAGGCATTGGTAAAGTGGGAGATGGGAGGGGACCCAGTCTTGACCTCATGGAACAGCCATCCTACAAGAGACAGAGAGGATCACAAAAGCCACACTCCCCTTCCTCCCGGCCCCAGCGCACAGGCTCTGGATGCTCGTTCTCTCCTTGTGCCTGACAGAGGCTCAGTCTCATCCCTTACGGGATTAGGGACAGATGGCCCTGTGATGAGAGCTGCTTTCTAGATAAACCCCGACCTCTGTAGCGGTCAGACTTACAGCGTATGAACTCAGCATGACCAGGACAGCGACTGTTCTCTGCTCCACCCAGCTCGGAGAGCATTTGGGATCTGCGGAAGGGCGGCCAGCAGGCAGCTCTTTATAGGAACTTCCTGTGTAAATGCTGAAATCAGAGAAGAACGTCCATTGCTGTTTGGTCAAATAATTATGTATCGAGGCAGACAGACGCTGAGCAGTAGAGAGAGGGCATGTGTAAAGAAACCTCCAAGTCTGCCTTCCCCTGAATCACTCCCTCCATCCACCCCTCCCTCCCTCCCTCCCCATCTCCCTCAGCTGTCCGCGGGGAGGTAGTGTCACACAGGGGTGAAGACCGAAGAGTCTGCAGGCAGAGCACCCAGATCTCTTATTAACCGGGGCTTTTGGCAGACTCCATCTTGCCAAGCTTTAGATTTTCCATCTGTGACATGAAATGATGCTAGAGCCTGCTCAGCATTACTGTGGAGATTACATGAGATGATCTGTGTAAACTGCTAGCGGTCCATCGCATACAATGCCCAGAAAACAGTGTTATGTATGTTAGTATGTGTTTAAAATAATCCAGATATTGGACGGATATGTTATGTTCATGGTTTAGAAGACTCAGTATTATAATCAGTTTTCCCCAAACTACTCTTTTTAACAAAATTTTGTTTGCTTTTTTAGGGGGGAGGTAATTAGGTTTGTTTGTTTGTTTGTTTATTTTAGTGGAGGTACTGGGGATTGAACCCAAGACCTCATGCATGCTAGGCATACACCCTACCACTGAGCTATACCCTACCCCCTAAAACTACTCTTTAGATCAATGCTACCCCAAATTTCAGAAAGTTTTTGTGTTTTTGGAGGGAAGGGATAGTCAAACGGCTTCTAAATGTATATGGAAGTGCAAAGGACCAAGAGTACCTTAGACGGGCAACCTGCCATGTTCTCTGTCTACCACAATAGCCAATGTCCCTGATGGTGGAGGCTCTTTCAGCCTAGGTTTCTGGGAGGACACTGCCTGCAGCAGAGCCCGCCCTGATTTGTGATGAAGCCACTACATTCTAGTGACACTTCTGAAGATGAAGGGCTGGTGGAGAACTTGGCTGTAGAGCAAGGTCTGCTTCCTCACGACTTGATGGACCTGCAGAGGTCAAAACAGTTAGAACAACTGGTATGAACAGACATACTGAGACAAGTTTTTCCAAAATTTAAAGGCTGTCCACCAGCGCTGGACAACAGTGCTTTGTTCTGCTAACTGCTGAACACCCTTCTGCCAAGATGAAGCACAGAAGACAAGAGATACTGATGACTCACGAAAACATATCCAAGTTCAAAAAAAGGAGAACTTAAGCTGCAGCAGCAGAGGGTGGGGGTCGGGGGACAGAAGGAAGAATTGGAAAGGGCTATGGGGCCAAAGGTATATTTGGAAAAGAAAAGCAGATAGCTGCCAAGCCAGCAAAAAGGACATGAAAAGGAGAACATTAGCAAGAGCCTGTGTTTCTTTTCCTATCCAATACTCTGGATCTCAGACCGTAGAAGTAGTGAAGTTGCGCCAATGCCTGGTAACCACTGTTAGCTTTTGAAATCCTTCTCCTGCTCAGGGGTTGCTGTCTCTTGATATCTTCAGTGCAGCCTTTCAAGATGTTCTTTCCCCTCCCCCCTCTTAGTAGACATAATGTCACTCACTTTTTGATATTATTTAAATATTTTTAATTGCATTTACATTTGGACATTCACTATTTGTCTTTGAGCCACTCACAAACTGAGAATTATTTGATATTTTTAATGATAGCCTACAGGTTCCAAATTAACATAACACTTAACGGATGTAGATTTAAAAGTTTCAGTTTCTC